ACATGTTAATTGGTGTAACGGTTGTTGAATAAACGTAATTTAAATGATTGCCATTTTTTTTGCACACCACTGTATTTTTACAAACTTCCTGCTGACGTCGAAAAGTGGAGTCAGGAATGTGTTAATAAATTTTTCACATTGAATTCAAATGTAAATTGTTCGTTGGTATCAAGAATTCATCAAAAAAACTCTTTTTTTTCATTTTCATAATTTATAAGTGTATCTTGAGTCCGTTTTTGACAAGATAAATATATTTCCATTAGCATTTGTAATCTCCATTTGAATGATTCAATTTATAAACACCAAAAAATAAGGTCAGAAGTTTTAAATTATATATTATGATAGTAGTACAAGTATAGTAAAAAAATTAAATATAGTTAGCATTGAGGTAACTTTTTTAATAAATTTGGATTAAAATATTACTAGATCACATGAGTAAAAAATTAAAATAGTATTATTTATAGTAAAAAATTAAAATAGTATTATTTATAGTACATTATTTAAAACAACTCTAACAGCCGTTGACGGTAAAAGTATTTGAAACATAAAACTCTCCGCCTAGATCATTATTAAGGCGGTCAACTACGATAACAGCGTTATAAGCTTTGTTATTTTGAAGGCCCGTAGGAATTGTAGCAGTTACTTCGCCCTTTGAAACCAAAACATTTTGCGAAAAAGCAATTAAACTTGGGTATCCATTGAGGAAGACATTAAGGGTAAGATCTTGATATAAATTGTATGCTGTAGTTTTGAATTTTTTTAAAAAAATAGGATTAAATATTACATTATATATCAAAGAATGAATTTTTACGAATCGAAAATACTTACGATCTATCCATTTAACAGTGAGTTTGCCGCCACACTAAAATCGTCATAAGATTTGTTGGTGTATCACTTTTAATAAGTTATATTTAATGTATATCATAAAAGAAAACTTCATACCTTTTTATTTTGAAGAACGTTTGGCTTGGTAACAATCAGCCCAAAACCTGGATTACCAATGGAAAAAGATCCAGACAAAGCCAGGTAATTGCTACCTATTCCGATGAGATAACGAGGTTCAGGGTTGAGTCCTGTCGGAAGAGTATAATCAAAGGAGTAGCACTGTTTTCCTATCGATTTTTTTAAAAAAAAATAATCAATAAAGAAGTTGGTATGGAGTGAAAAACAATAAAAAGTGTTTTTAAATAATGTTGCAAACCTTCGTTTAAATTAATTCCAGTTGCAAGGATAGCAACTTTATTTCCGGGCGCAAATTTATTAAGATTTATCTCATCAATATAAGTAATGCTACAGTCAACACAGAAGGAAACCGTGATCTTGCAGCCAGAAGAGTAACGATCTCCCGAAACTTTTTAATAGAGTATTTAATATGTTAACCTTATTTATTTAACAAAAAAAAATTTGATAAGAAATTAATTTCAATACCTGGACTAGTTATTGCAATACCAGGAATCTTAGAAGCGGGGGCAGCAGAGACAAAAGAGATAACCAAGAAAATAGCCGTCAAGATGATCAAAGGTTTAGTAAAATTCATTTTGAACAATTATGTAGAACTGTGGCCTTGGCAGAGGGGAAGATATAGATCTTATTTATAGGTTTACTTGAACAAAGACATACAAGCAGTCGACCAATGGATTATACAGCACGTAAATTTCTTTAGCGGACATAAAAGGGGAATTTTCTGCAAGTTTGGTCTAATTTACTACCCTTTTTCGCTAACCTATCTGCCTTTTCATTGAACTCATCACCTTGATTGTTAATGATAATTTCCTTAATTAGATTTCTTATTTTAGATTTCTCATGCTACCAACCATAGAAGCGAAAAAAAAAAAATGGTTACTAAAATTTACGTATTAAAGAGGTATTATTAGTATTGTTAGTATATTAATGGGTTCACAAGATCTTGGTAGCAGATTTCTTCTATCCAGTACATATTTATTTGTTCACGTTTTTGTTTTTCAATGAAAGTCAATTTATTTAATAAATTAGTATCACATTGCTTTCCACTATTCGTAAATAAATGTTTAATCAGGCTTGCATTTCGTGCACGTAGTATATTATGTGTAATTTGCCGGCATTCAATAACAATAAAAAAAATGATGGATTCATTTAAAAATTAGGTAGATCAAAAAATAAAGAAGTAAGAAAATTATTATTTTTTTCTAAAAAAAAAAAAATCCTGTGACATTTTATTTTATTTTATTTTTAGAACTTTGTTGAAAATCGAGGAGTAATTATTATTTTTTGTTAAAAATATTTACATTTGTAAACATGAAAAAGAATTTTTTGTACGTTGGTCAGCTATTGTACTAATCAGTTTTTGTGATAAATATGTAATATCGTCTCACTGGTGGTTAAGTTTTCGCACGAATTTCTTTTTCGACACGACATTCAAAGTCTAATCTGGTGAGTTCTAATATTTACTCTGAGGAACTAATTTCTAATCTGCAATGATGCGATAATTTATAGTGTGTGCATAATAGATTTGCACAAGGTACGGTTGCTGCGAGCCGCGGTCACGAGTAGTAATGTATGATTATTTGTTAGATCTGATTAATAAAACAGTTTGAATGTTTTTAAATAAAATTTATTAGTTAAAAAAGCGTGTGATCCGGATTTTTTATTATTATTTCAATCTGCAGGAAAGCCATCATTTTTTTTCTCATCTAATTAATCTATCATGGCTTGATCCTTTTTTAGTTTATACAGATGAATAGTTTCTTGGAAACAATTGAACCGACGGTTTTTATTAGAAGACCCTGCATAATGGCTTTTTGTCAAGACAATTAAGCTATTGTTCTATTGCCCTTAACCTGTTGCAATGCCAGTTGAATTGATAATTTTAATCAGAAGACCTTTCATAAATGGCTTCTTGGTCTAGACAATCAAGTTGTCGACCGACCTCCTTGACCTGTTGTAACACCAATCAACATCAAAAAAAAATTTTATAATGATTACCTTAAATCGATCAAGGTAATTGGAGAAAACCTATTTATTTTTTTTTTTTTGATGAAAACACTTTTTTAATCTATGAAATGTTAAATTTTCTTCCGTTAAACTTTTCAAATTGACAGGAGATGTCGATATAGATCATGCACAATTTTTAAATTTTTTTTTTTTGATGATTTTTTTTTATTTGAAATGTTGTTATTAACTTGATTATTGGAAATCTTATTGACAATCAAACTATTGTCATCATAAATAATTATCAAGCGCTTAGTAATTTTTTTTTTGATATGTAATTTATGAAATGAAAATAGAAAAGTAACTGTTATTATCACATTATTTGTTTATTACATAATAAAGAAATCAATTTACTCTAGCTTAGGATAAAAAAACATAGTATAAAAAAAATATATCTGCGCCTTGTTAGACAATCGATTTTTTTATAAATACGATATCCGCCCAGAGAGAAGTAAAATGAAGCAGTAGATCAAGATCAAGAGTATAGCATGGCACAGTGCAGCACAGCAAGGCAAAGACAAGAGCATTGATTTCTTGATACAATAAATATAAAACGTTTCCATTCCTGTGAAACCATAAATTGCCTCTTATATCCAGTCTAAAAAAAATAATAAGAGGTAAAAAGCAAGCTGCGTCATACGAATTTGAAAGAGTTATTTTATAGTGCTAATTTGAAAAAGTGTTAAAAACAAGGTTTGCATTACTGATGTGCAGTTGCTGTGAAATGTGATAATATGCAATGTTTGATGATTCGATTTATTTTTTTTTAAGGTTACATGAAGGAATTTGAGAGTTTTATCAATGAAAAATCTATTGCAAGTTTTGGAATCCTTTAGTATGTATTGTGTTTAACCTTTTATACTCATTTAAAGCAGCTCTTGGAGATTTTAGGTACTTGTGATTGAAGTTTATGATACAGAGGTTTTCCCATGAAGTTGCACAGCTCATTGCAATATAAGCTTGATCTTTGGCAAATATGGATTTGTCAATGGTGGTGGTTACATGAGGTAAGGTTAGACCTTGCACCTTATGAACAGTGAGAGCAAAGGCATTTTGAAGTGGGAACTGTTTTCTTATGCTTGCTTTCTGTTAATATAGAAATAGGTTGTTTCTTTTTGAATGATGACTTTGACTATATTAGTAAAAGTAGGAAAGATTACTTTAACATTTTGATTGTTACCAATTTTTGTTACAATTCTGATTGAGTCATTACAGATATTGTCATTAGTGGTATATTTGGAGTCTAATTAGACTCCAAATATATCACTTAATATAGACTATAACTATCCCGAGAGTGACGTGCATTTGCTTTTTAGGCCTCACACTTCGGTTATTTATAGTCTACATATCGGGTGATGTGCATTTTGCTTTTTAGGCCTTACACTTCGGGTTATTTATAGTCTACACATCAGGTGACGTGCATTTTGCTTTTTAGACCTCACACTTTGGATTATTTATAGTCTACACATTGGGTACCATATAGGTTACATTTGTATTATCACTTGAAAGCCACTAAGACATATGCCAATATGACGTGTATTTTGCTTTTTAGGCCATACTCGAATGAGATGCATTTTGTTTTTTAGATCACATGGGTAAAAAAATATATCTGACGATACATTCAGTCGCGTTTCGTCATTTGTACACCTGACGTGAGGGCCAATTTTTTCAAATAATATAAGTAAAATACATACTCTATAGTATTATTTATATCTAAAGAAATTAATTTTTCATCACTTTGAAGAAATTTTATAAGTTTTGCTTTTACGTCATTTTCAATTTTCTGCCAATTTTGATTAATATCACCTTGAAAACTTATTTTGTATACTGCATAAAATATTTAATAAAAAAAATAATATTATCGAATACATGTTGTCAAGTATATTACGAAAATATTATCAGGTCATGTTATTTTAGAATGTCACATAAATGCTATCGGGTTACTATCAATGAATACTATTGACTATGCTATATACACATTATCGGGTATACTATGAGGCAGGTACATAAGTGCCATTGTTCCACAATAAGCTTCGAATCTCTGATTCATCAAGCATGTATCGCATAATTGCTATGTCTTGAAGAGATATCCCTAAAGAGTCCGAGTAATGCTATATCAAAATATATCAAATTTTTTGTCAGCAGTTGTCAGTAGAAAAAAAAATAATTGCTGACGGAGCTGCTGACATCTTCTTGAAAGTTTTGACTCATTTTATTTATTTCTTAATTACTTTTTTATATTTGTCAGTAGTTACTATAGTTAAAAGAGTGAATTTATAAAGAAAAACGAAACTCTTTCATATGCTATACCTACCTTTGATACATACCGATATATGCTATATATACATACCTTTGGCCGTGCCAACTCTGCTGATACATATACGATATATGCTATATATGTACATACTATATATATGTTCTATACACATAGATAAAAATATACAAAAATAAAGAAGACAAGATTTACACTGACACAGCTGACGCTGTCAACACTTATTAAGAACAGTTTTTTTCGAGCTCAAATTCTCAAGAAGATACATTACTACCATTTTTTTTGCTGTTGACGAACTACTGACAACTATTGACACTTAATTGGACTACGTCTGTATACTCGTTCACTATGTATTTTTTCCAAGCGTCTCCAGTTTTTGTACCATCTTCTCCAGTTTTTTCTGATGTCTATACTCTTTTCTACGATGTTTTTGCACGTGAGGATCACAATAACTATAATCAGAAGAGGTAAATTTAATACAATTATATTCTTTGCAAGGATAACGAATAGATGAATCCCGGTGAACTTTGCACCCCTTGAAATGATAACACTCCCGATTACAGACTTCTCCAGTTCTAAGGATATAGGGACAATGATAAAATGCCATTCTTTTTGATATTTATCTCGATTGAGTATATAATATGTACTGATCATTATTCTTTAGAATTAATTTTCATTTTGAACTTTTTAATTCTGAATAATATACTTTCAGAAAAAACATAAGTACCCAAAGTGAGCACGATACACCCACTGTGCCCATTGTACCTGCATTATCTGATATACTAGCTGAAGATTCGATTTCTGAAAACTTAAAGCGATGTGGAGATATCTACACACCAGAGAACATCGAGCTAGATGTAGAGAGAGAAATAAAGTTTGAGGAAGAGCCCGATTATGAAGGGAACGGGACGTTCTACTACCAGGGGTCCAAAGCTTTTTCTCAATTACAGATTTCGGAAAGTAAAGAGGAAAGCCAGGTATTTTACTACAAAGGAGAAGATTATTTATTGACCCATCCAAGCTGCAATATGATAATTACAGAAATTGATGACTATGGATCAATAGCAACTATTAAACAAGTTTTAGTCAAAAGAGAAGGCATACCTTTTATACCAATTGACATTAAAGAATATAATGAATATATAAATAATATCCCACATTACGTTTTATGTATATATAGTTATCTTGTCAATGGTCAAAAAGCCGTAGTAACAATTTCTGGCATAAAAGTTTTCTTCGATATTCGCGTTCCCAATAATGAGAAAACAAAGTTATTTGAGTTTAAGATAAGGGATATTTTCGCTAAAGGAAAAAATGATGACAGGGAAACTGTAGATATGAGTCAAGTCCGAATAGAATATGTGAAGGCCTTTTCGATTAAGGGTTATCAACCAGAAAAAAAGACATATCTACGTATTGTTATAACTAATTCTAAACAAAGAAAAATCGCTCTTGATATTATCTTAAAACATAATTCAGAAATTGAAGAAGCAAAGCGGAGGTGTATACTGGAAACTGCCTCAGACAATACAACTGCATATTATCAAAAAGTTGCTCGAGAATATAGGATACCACTTTCTGACTGGAGTTTATTAACCAATTACGAACACAATAATGGTAGGATGCCTTATAATGCCCACTCCTCACTTTGTGAACATGCTTTTTATATATCTATTAATAATTTTCGCCATATAGAGGATCCCACAGTATTAAATAAGATTTATCCTTCTCAACTTTTTACTCATGACCAAGCATTAGTCCTTGCTTGGAATATCGAAACATATTCAATACTTGAGTTAGACCATTTCCCATATGCAAGATATAAAGAGGATAACATATTTATGATTTGTATGACTGTCCACTGGAAAGACGACCTCACTCCATTAAAACAAATTTGCCTTGTTGACGTAGAAACGGCACCGGATCCAAATTGGATTACGATTATTTGTGGGAATAAAAGAAATCTATTAAAGACATTTGCTTTATGTTGGAGAGCTCTAGCCTCCAATATCAAACTTACCTTTAATAGTTTCAAGTATGACTGGCCATTCGTGATAGAAAGAACCACCCAGCTGAAAATTCTCAATTGGATGTTATCAAAAATGTCAACAAATTCACGTAAAAAGGCTACAATTGATTCTATACTCTGTTGAAATTACTATGGAGAGGTAGGCGAACCTTTCTATAAAGATTTCTTTCATAAAGAACAAACATGGGGAAATTCTTTGAGAAAAGAAAACAAGGCTAGTAAAAAGATAAAGAATCGGGAAGAAGTTGAGATCAAGATTATCCCAGAAGAAAATTTCAAATCCACTTTTCTTAAAGTTTCCAGTTGTGTCCCGATTGATGTACTAGTATATTATAAAAAACTTTATCCAAAATCTGAGGATAAATTATTTAACTATTTCTTAAAAATACATGGTCTTGATAGTAAAATAGGTTTACCAATAAAAGTTATGAGGGAATATTATATACAAAGCAAGGAGAATACCTCACCTGAGATTACTAAAAATATGCGTAAAATTGTCAACTATTGTATTGTAGATTTTCTTAGTTGTCAAAGGCTTATGGTTAAGAGAAACATAATAAATGATTACAGAGAGGTAACCTCAATTGCATATGTTTCTTTATTCGATTCACATTACTATGTCAGGGGTATGAAGGTATGTAATCTTTTAGGTACTGAAGTATGAAAAAGGGATATATTGATTACTATGATCGTTTCTAAACAAATAGAATTTGGTAAATATCCGGGCGCCTATGTATTTTCACCTATAAAGAGTTTTGAAAATGAATGACCTGTTACAGGATTGAATTTTGTATCTTTATACCCAAGTCTTATTATGACCTATAACTTCTCACCTGAAAGATAACATTATTGTCTGAAGAAGCAGTTGTATTAGAAAAAGCAAGTGAATGTCTTCATAAAATCGAGTTCCTTTTTAACGGCTGAATTTTACATACTTGGTCTATAAGACATGGAAATAAAAATAATAAAATGGAGCTATATCTATCAGTTTTAGTAGAACTGTTTAATAAATGAAATAAAATAAAAGTTCAACTAGGAGTTCTCAAAAAAAAACTAGACTATATGGAATCGGTAAAAAATAAAATAAAAGAAAAGAATTTATCGTTAACAGGTGCCATTGATCATATCCTAAAAAATACAAAAGATGATGAAGAAGAGCGGGCTTATAGAGCTGAAACCTTAATTCCTTTTGTTGAATATTTCTATAACGATTTCATAGTGGAATACGATATTGTTGCAGAGTATGTAACTAAGAAGAAAGGTTTTGGCATCAAATATGGAGATACTGATTCTTTATATCTTACCTGTCCCACTGAATGTTATAAAGAATATGATATTACTTATAATAATGGTAATGGTACGATCACAAAATTAGAGTATTGGACCGAAATGATTAAAATTACTATGGGTATAATGAAGAAATTACATGATGATGTGAATAAATATCTTACATCAGTAAATTTTAATAGGCAAAAATTTTCAAAAATTTACACCATGTTAAATTTCCATAATATTACAGGACCCACGAAAATTTACGGGATTCTGACAGAATTTTGATATTGATATAAATTTACGGAATTTTATATTGATGTAAATTTACGGAATTTTGTATTAACATAAATTTATAAAATTTTACATTGATGTAAATTTACGAAATTTTACATTAATGTAAATTTACAAAATTTTATATTGATGTAAATTTACGGAATTTTGTATTAATGTAAATTTACGAAATTTTAATGTTAATATAAATTTTTTATAATAAAATTCTAAAAATTTCAATATAATAAATAGATTTTCTAATAGACAAAAATCTTTAACAATATCAAAAAAATTTTTTAGACGTAATATTCTGTAATTTTAACACAGTATTAAATTTTTGTAATTTTTTGCATAATATTTCGTAATTTTAACATAGTGTTGA